CAATACCTTGAGAATAGATCTGCGTCCTCTCCCTAATGTCCTCCTGAAGGTAATTGACCTGATGCTGCAAATCCAGCCTCAGGTCCACCATGTGCTTCACTACGACTCCCATGGCCTCGGCATCTCTCTGAGACCTCACCTGTCTGGCCTCTGCAGCACGAGCAGCCGCCTCAGCAGCTAGGGAAGCCGCCTCAGCAGCTAGGGAAGCCGCCTCAGCAGCACGAAGAGCCTCCTCAGCAGCTCGCGCCTGCCTTGAGCTCGTTTCCTCCTGGGCCTCCAAGGCGTGGATAGAAGAGTTCACCTACCAAAAAGAAAGAACGAGTGATCAAAAGAACGACAGCAAGAAGGATAAAAGCAAAGGAGCTCGATAAAAAGACTGACTTACCACCATGGCATGAGTAACGGCACGGCAGGCCACCTGGTGCAGAGGGAGATCAGTCCACGCCGCGACCTCCTCGGGGAAAATGGCCTCCTTACTCTTCTGAAGAGCGTAGGTCGACGACAGCACACTCCTGAATTCCCCTGGGGCCCCCGAGCCCGAGAGCCCAGCTCGCGTATGAGCAGACCCAGAGTAAGCAGGAGCACCAGAGTAAGTGGGAGCCCCCCTGTAAGTAGTCTCAGCATACGGGCCCCCTGCCGCTTCTTGCATTGGAGGAGCCATCTCGGGCTCCCTGGGCAGATCCCCTGACGGGTAGTCCGGTACCTCGGGCTCCGCATCCCGGGGCAGCTTGGCGCAAGTTCGCTTGGCGACTCGCTTCGTTTTCTTCATGCCTTGAAACAAGTGCCCACCACGAGTCATTCCTGAGTCCATCACACCTGCAAAAAGGAGTTCGGCATTAGAAAAAAAAGCTAGACAGAGCAAAATAGAACCTCCAAGTAAGGAATCTACCCGAACTCAGGCCGGCCGCAATGAGCTTGGCCTCCGTCAGATACTGTTTGCACTTTAGCCCAAGCCGCGCCCATTGTTGGAGGCCCTTCACCGTCTCTTTGTCAAGCGTAACACCGGAGTCAGGGGCGGCCACCCCCCACCCGGTCTGAAACGGCCACCCCAGCACACTTCGCACCCCGAAGTAGTCCCGCTTCCACGCCGGGACCTTGTTAGGAAGATCATGAAAAAGCTTAAAACTCGGGCGAGGAAACAGGTAATACGCCCGCCTACGCCCGGGGAGGAGACCCGCTTGCTTCTTAAGCATTAAGATGGAAGAGAAGATCTCCAAGTCTAAAGGAAAGCCCTGTTCGCTAAATAGGGAGATTGTCCCCACCAAATTACGAATGGAGTTCGGGTGAAGCTGGCCGACCGTAACGCCGAAGTGATTCAAGACCTCGACAAGGAGGGGATGGAAAGGCAATCGCAGCCCCGCAGCGAGCTGCTCCCGGAATATCACGATCTCATCAGGACCGTGTTCCCAAGGAAAGCTACCCGAAGGTATGAAATAAGCGTACTCCCCAGGCAAATTGTAATAGGTAATAAGGGATTGGAGCCCCTCAGGTGTCATGGTCGAGAGGCCAAACTTGTCTAACGTCCGACCCCGATGAGAGGTGGACGCCAAACTACCCGAGGTGACTCGACCTATGAGTTCGAACTCTTCCTCGAGCTCTACCTCCGGCTCGCTAGGACTATCAGGGGATGCGACTCGGTTCGTAGAACCTGCATCTGACTCACTTGAAGAACCGTCTGAGCTATCCGAGCTAGAAATCGAGGAGAGAAGGTGGATTCCAGGAAGGTACTCACCCGGAAAAAAGCTTGAACAAGACTACGAGAACTTGAACGAGCGAAAACCTCGAACGCGAACTGGAAGCCTGGACGTGAGCTGAAACTTGGACACGAGCTCAAGAGGCAAAGCACAGAAGTGACAAAGCGACTGGGGTCCCCCACTATTTATACCCACAGTGACCGAGAAGCAATAGCACAGATCAAAG